AAAAAAATCAATTTAAAGAAAATTTTATAGCAAAATTATAGCATGGAATTACCCTTAAACTTTCAAATGTTTTAAGTTTATTTTGAAAATTAAAAAATTTTCAAAATCCAAAAAAGACGTTTTTTGGCGTTTTGAATGCATAGTTTAATGCATAGTTTAAATTGTAAAAGTTTATATACAGAAAAAACCAGCCTCCTGATACACACATTTTGGTACCCTTTGAGATTTTTGAAAATAAGTCTTTCAGGCTGTTTAAAAAAAGTTTGTTCTGACCGAAACTAATAACTTACACGCTTTTTGCGTGGAAGTTAATTTATTAAAAGGTAATTTAAAATCAACAGCCTTGATGTTTCATCTTTTTCATTGCCTTCTCCTGCTTCTTCATGTTCTTTTGCTCCCATTCATAAAAAGAACACATCAATAGAAAATATAATAGCACTAATATTAATAATGAGAAAAAATTTAAATTTTCACCATTGTGTCATTAAGTATGCATGAAGTATATCATGTATGGAGAGGGAGTTAAGAAAGAAGATATTGAAATGAACTTTCTTTCATCTTTTTTTTTATTCCTTTGTTTGCGATTCTTTGTGATCTTGAAACAATCTCATCTGTAGATGTTTAAGGCAAGGAAATTACTTTTCAATGTTTTGTGGATGTGATGTGTGCTTTTATTATGTGATTTTCATTCATGATGTGATTTTGTTGTGTGGTTTTTTTAATGCGAGTAAATTACTTTAACTTTGTTTACTTATTTGATACATTTTTTTTTGTGTGTGGTGGAATGAGATTAATTTTGAATGTTGGTGATGGAATTGAGGTTCTTGTGGATTTTCTAGAAGATTAATAAATATATTAAATTCTAATTTAGAGATTCTAAGATTTTTTTTTTTTGGAAAATGAATATATGGATCAATAGCCTATGGTAAGGCAAGCAAAACCTAACAACTTAAACCCAGAATTCCACGAAATGATAATAAGTTCAACTAAAATGCAAACATCAACAAAACCTTATAACAAATCTTAAACTTCTGAAAATCAAAAACTCAATGGAAGAAATATTTCTAAAGAACAAAAGACTCATTAAAAAAGGCAAGGTAAGATGCAAAGCTGTATGAGAAAAGATAAAAAGAAAAAAGTGAACAAAAGAGATGAAAAAATATCTTTGAAATGAAAATGATTGCAATTTTATGTCACAAAACCGTGAAATTAGCTCTTAAAATCAGTCTGGATATAAAAGCGGTTTATTAGACACGTTGTTGTGACGCTATTGTGAGATTCAAGCAGCAAATAATGTCATAGAATAGAAAATTAGAAGTGATTATTCGAATTTAAGGATGGAAATTTATACAGATTTGAAAAGGCAATGAGAAATTAATTAATGCTGAGATGAAAGCTGTGAAATTGCTTTAATTAGAATACTAATTAGTTTTTAAGTTCCGTTGACCTCTTATTCCATGAGAATCATGAACTACAGCTTTATCTACAGTACTAGAAATCAAAATCAAAACATTTTGAATCTTTCAAGTCAAGAGCTGTAACCTTCTTGAAAAATTACAATTTAAACGAATATTATGAAATAGAACAGACTCTGTTATGTCTAGGAACAAACATTCTTCTTCCTCTCTCTGCTTGCATAGCAACGACCCTAACCAAGTGAGATAATACTAAATTTTAAAAACAATAACACACATAAATATTGATTCATTGAGAGGAGAATGGAACAAATGAAGTAAGTTCAGGAAATTGAGAAGCAGGAAGTGAACGATAATAAAAAGAGAAATCAATATTATTTTAATTTCCGGTACTTCTTCAACTCTCTTTTGTATTGTGTTGCTTATTTTTTAGCGTAGTTTTAAACCAAATTTGAGTTGCGTGGATGGTGTGTCCTTAGGTGTTTACTTATAGTAGTAGATATGGAAATGATTTAAATTAATTTTTTTAAAAAAATCTAGAATTGTTTCAAGGTCACTTATTAATCTTATAAGCTTTAACCATAATTCCAATAAAAAAAAACATTAAATTTCAATAATTTTTTTAAAAAAATCTGTATTTTGGTAAGTCAAAATAGTTTTATACTTCTTAATATTTCCCTTTCTGTTCTAACTTTCCTCACTTCCTCATTGTTGTTCGAAAAAGTTTCCCTTTAATTTTAAATTGAAATTGTAAATTTAATGGAAATTTTTTAATCACAGTTAATCAGATGATTTATGTGCTTTCATTTTCTTTTATTTCTCTCATTTTCTACATTTTTTATGAGTAAAGAAATTTATTTAATTTAATAAAGAAAATCTCAAAAGTAAACTTTTCAATTTGTTTTTTTTCTTCATTTTATTTATGAGCAAAAATGATTTTTTATTTTTTTCTCATTTAAAATGAAGGAAATTTGTTGGAACTTTTTTTTATCTCTATTTGAATTTAAATTGAATTTTTTCTGATCTTTTCTTGTTATTTTCTTATTTTCTTCTTTAATATTAAACCAACATAAAGAGATAAAAGAACTTTCTTTTTCAGAATACAATAAATGAGATAGGATGTGGATGGAGATAGAAATAAGGAAATGCCATTGTAAAATAATGGAAATTTTAAAGTCAAAATGCAATGTCATTGTGCTTTATTGTGGAAAATTTCATTAGAATAAAAAGAAAAATTTGTTATGGAAATTTGAATTTTTAATTTGCAAAAGTGTTTGCTGTAGATTCGGAATTTGAATTTTTCCGTTAATTCAGATACTTTCAAATTAATTCACCATCATCACATTTTCAATTTTCATCCTAGCTCAAGGATACAATGAAAATAACAATGAAACAAAAAATCTCAATTAACTTTCAAATACAATTCATAAAAAATTCCATTGAAAATTTAACCAAATTTATTCATCAATTAAAAAATTAAGTTCAACAGAACAAATTTTATTATCCATTAAGAGTTTTAGGATGGTTTAATTTTCCATTTTCCATGTTACGGGTCTTTTATTTATGTTTCTATTTTGAATTATAAATTAATTTCATTATAAAATTTTAATCTCGAAATCTCCTTTAAAACAAAAACATAAACTTTCATATTAAAGTGGCTGAATTGTGATTCAAATTGAAATTTTCAGATTTGAGATAACAAATTTTATGAGCTTTTATGGAGTGAGTGAGTGTATTAATGAGAATTTTAGAGGGCAACTAAACCACAGCCCTCTCATAACTTCATGGATTTTTAGAGCTAGATTATTTGAAAATGATGAGTTTAGTGATACACATTGTCCGAATGCAGGTTGATTTAATAAAATATAAAGGAATTTTCAGAACTTAAATTTAAAAACATTTTTAAATTTGATTTTTGAACAAAGTTTTAAATTTGATTTTTGAACAAAGTTTTAATTAAATTTGATTTTTGAACAAAATTTTAAATTTGATTTTTGAACAAAGTTTTTTAAATTTGATTTTTGGGCAAAGTTTTAAATTTGATTTTTGAACAAAGTTTTAAATTTGATTTTTGAACAAAGTTTTAAATTTGATTTTTGAACAAAGTTTTAAATTTGATTTTTGAATAAAGTTTTAAATTTGATTTTTGAACAAAGTTTTAAATTTGATTTTTGAACAAAGTTTTAAATTTGATTTTTGAACAAATTTTTGAATTTGAATTTAAAAAGTCCATTGAAATTTGAAATCCAAAAAACAGTCAATGTTGAATTTTCAGGAAAAAAAACAATTCCTTATTAAAACTTAATTCATCTACCACACAGTGCAGTTCGGATTTTGCAACTCAAATATTTTATTTGCTCACTACTTTCCCATCCCACTATCCTTTCTCTTTCTCTGTACACAATCTCTGGAGAGTTTTTAATGATGTTTATTTATGTTTCGCTGAACAAAAGGCATAAAAAATTTTTCTGCACATTTTATTTATTTTACACAAATTAAACATAAATATACACATACATGAGAGGAAATTAATGAGATTTTTTTATATTCATTTTTTTCTTTATTTATATGTACGAATATGTGTAAGTAAAACACATGGATGAAAATTGGCAATGAATGAAAAAGAAAATTTCCTTTTGTGTATTTTTCATTTCTTTTTTTAAATTCAAAATAACAATTTATTTTTCTTCTTTTTCAAATTAAACAATTAAAATTTCCTTTTCTTATTTATTTAAAATATAAAAAGGATAAATTAACTTTCCTGATTTTCATGTAAGATTATGTCTGAGGAAATGAATGAAATAAGTGGGGAAATTTTAATTGGAGCGGATTTAAAATCTGATTTTATTCTTGTTTTTATTTACCTTAGAATAATTTTTAATAACATGACGATGTTTAACACACATCTTAGACGTTATTTATTTTAAAGAGGTTTTGGTTTTTTTAAATTGTCTATTTTCTAATTTTTTAACATTCTAAGTTCTGGACTTAAAAATGTATAGCGATTCGATAGATTCTCCTATTCCTATAGGTCGGAGTCAGACCTTGTCTGTTCAAATAAAAGACCAAATTTCAATCAAGTCTAGGCTAAGAAACTTAAAATATTATAGAATTTGTACCAATCGAACATTTTGATTGAGTATCTGAGTCATGAATATAAATGAAACAAAATGAAAATATTATCAGCAATTGAAAATCATGAAACAATGTCAATAAAAATGTAATTCCTAATTCAGTTCAAAATTAATCATCATTACGGTTTCTAATTTTGCAAAATTAATACAACAATCGTAATAATTGACATCACATATTATGTAAGCCAACTCAAATTCCAATCACTTGCATCTTAATAGTCATATATTAATTGATTCTGATGAATTTTAAATGAAATTTGATACTCAACACTAAATTAATTTTATAAAATTCCAAGGAATCAAAATGCTTGAAGTAAAATTGCAAACATCTTTGAATTCCTTAAAATTTAACAATTATCCTCAAAAAAGACTTTAATTTAAAATTGATCAAAATTGAATAATTTATTCACATCAATACACTTCCAAAGCATTATTAGTTGATCTCATGAAATCACTTCTTAGGCTTGCCTGGAATCCCGCTCATTTTAGGTTTTCCTGCATCCTTAATATTGTAAATTTGTCCAAAAAATTTAAGTCCTTGGATGATTTCACTGCCTTTAAGTACATTGCATTCCAACTGATAATCTCCACTTTCAAAAACTGGAGGCACTTTGCTCAAGTCAGGTAAATAATCTTTAACCAATAAGGTACCTGTTTTAAAGTCACAAGTGCCAAGCGTTGGGAAATTTTCGCCATGTGCTACAACATCAGGATAAATCATTTTCTCGTCTTTCAGCATACTACAAACATTTGTTGGTCCAAGTTTGTATGGAAGTAACTTGTATTCATTTCCCATTTTCTTATAAACTAAGCACTGAGCATCCCAGTCATCAATCCCTGACTCAACATTCAATTCAACGCTTCCATCAAGCACAAAAGTTGTTCTGTTAAATCTTTTGACTTTTAAACCATCAGCATTAAAAACTGGGCTGTTCTTAATGACAATTTCGTTGTGCGATAAAACAGCTTCAAACATGCCAAATGCTGCCTAGAAATTTAAGTTGAATAAGATAAACTTTCAAAAATAACCAAAACTTACAGCAACAAATGACAGGATCAGAAATCCAACAATAAAGCTTTTCATCTTATTTAGAATGATATTAACACTGAATTGACAGCTAGCAATGAATTGTGTAGCTTTAAATGATCTGTCAAATCTGTGATAAACGCAAAGATTTATAATGAGCTCGTGGACAGCGATAAAAGATAAGCATTTTTTTGTCTCATTAGTTCACAGCTTTGACATTATGTGATGCACGTGAAGCCGAAAAGATAGAATTAATAGAACTGTAAATTTATTCAAGGTATCATCAATACATCATGAAAATGATAATTTAAGCAACTTGACAATGAATGAATCCGTTAAATAAATTAATGGTCGATAAAAATTCAAAAAGTTTCAAAAAATAAATAATCCGAACACGGTAGTCGGAACGCTAAAACCCTACAATCGGTAAAAACCTCAAAAAGGCGTTATTTTTAACGCGACATAAACTTTTTCATCAAAAATGGTAGGTTAATTAAGCTATTTAGTCACAATAAACCAGTTATTAGTGAAGTAGAGATCATAATTCAAGTGAATAAAGTGAAGTACTGAAGAAAAATATTGAATTTCAAGGAGATATCAACCAAAATAAAAAATGGTACCAAAAGAATTACGCTTGGCTTCAGAAAATCAATAATTTTTTTCATAGCTGTATTTTTATCGCCTTTCGGCACATATCGCTCATTTATTTCGGACGAAAAAAAATTATTAGCATATCTCTATTCTATTTTTACAGTCAAAGTCTAACAAGATGTCTCGCTTTCCTCACGATGCCAAAGTTTATGTAGGTGATTTAGGATCCAATGCCGACAAACAAGAAATAGAAGATGCATTTAGCTACTATGGTCCATTACGATCAGTTTGGGTTGCTCGCAATCCTCCCGGTTTTGCTTTTGTGGAATTTGAAGATGCACGGTGAGTAATCAGTGATTTTTCTTATTATATTATTAGATAAGCGTCATTGCGCGCTTTGCAGGCTTGACAAATGGCCTGCCGTAGTGTTTATAGGTTATCAATTATCCTACAAGGACATACAGTTTATTGATCCAGTATATAAATTAATAATAATAATATTTGTTTGTTTGTAATAGTGACGCTGAAGATGCAGTTCGGGGTTTAGATGGAAGAACAATTTGTGGTAGACGTGCTAGAGTTGAATTATCAACAGGCAAATCAGCTCGTGGACATCGCTCACGAGGTGGACGTGGCAGATCACCAGGAAGAAGAGAAGATCGATGTTATGAATGTGGCAATAGAGGTCACTTTGCACGTGATTGTCGTCGTCGTGGAGGAGGAGGAGGAGGTCGTCGTGGCAGGTAAAGACATTGATTTTTTTTATTTCTTTCAGGAACCACAACCATTTATCTCTTATGTCTATAATTATACCGAATGAGAGAGAGAGAGGTAACACATAAGATAGGCATTGACACCAAAAAAAGCGCGAGAAATTATTTACCAGCTGTGCCATCAAAAATTAGCATTCAAAATATCTCATCTGATCATCTACTAAAGTAGAACCTTTTCACTCGTGTGATTATCAGCGTGAACGTTCACCCTCCTCAGAAAAAGCTAGTCATTTAATTAAATTAAGCATGCACCAACTGCTCAGATCAAAAAAAAAACTAGTCCTATACGAAAATTAAGCACACAAAAAAAAACACCTCAACTATCAGAACTACCTACTATCTAGAACTTTAGTCTTCTGCTTACCACGACACACACAAATACAGCCGACCGAAATCAAGAATCAAGTGTAAATAGTTTATGATTTTTGTGTTATTTTCTTTAATTTTATTGTTTATGATTTTAATTAGTTCTTTTCTTACTTCGTCACGACGTCAACAAACACACACACTCGACCACTTTATCTATATCTATATCCGAAAATCAAATCAAATTTTAACATTCTTTAAGCGGCACATGAAAAAATAGACAGCTATTTATCATCTATCTAATCGTTGTGCGGGGTTAATGCAAATAATTATCGAATGGCTGGGTATTATAAGCATGTTGATCACCTATGTGGCACTTGACTCATGTCCAAATAGTAATCAGTAAATCAGAATTAACGTCATCAGCGAGAGTGCTTGTATCTTCTGCTACTGCTACAATACTACTACCACTACTTTCTTCTGGCTTCTAAATCTTCTGTCTCGTGACTATTCAGTTGAGTATCGTGTTTCATCCCGGGGGCCAGTGTTCTGATCAAACTTATGTCCAAATGGTTCTTACCAAATCAGTTTCTAAAGTAAAAAAAAGTAATAGTTTATCATGTAGTAGACCAATCATCTGAGCTTTGCAAATGCCATCATATCAAATATCTCTCACCATGATTCTGAGTGAGTTTTCAATTCAATATTAAAAATTTATTTTATAATTGAATTTTATATTTTTATATATATATATAAATATAAACTGTAAAAAAAATATATATCTATGCAACATTATTGTGTTAATTATATCAACGAGACTGATTAGATTTTGACAAAAAATCGTCAAGAGCAAGCAACACAGCACATAATATAATGTAGAGGTGATCAGTAATCTCTCCTAAGTCATCGCGTCAGTAATGAGCCACTTTTTATGATTTTCCGAATGTTTTTGTGGATTAACCAATGATATGGATTAACTTGCAGAAATGTTCAACTAACATATGTCAGAAATTTTATTATATTCATTAACAAAATTTCTATAATTTTCATGCCCAAACGTAGTCTTGATTCTGTACTGGAAAAAATTATTAACATTTTTATTTCTTCTTTCTTTCTCTTTTCTTTTTATCACGAAAAAATAAAAAATTGCAGATCACGCAGTCGCTCACGTTCACGAGACCGAGAATATCGCACCCGCTCGAGAAGTTACTCAAGATCACCACCACCAAAGCGCTCAAATAAGAGCCCAAGACGTTCAAAGAGTCCACGATATAATGACTCACGTGTCTCAAAATCTCCCCGTCGTGATTCACGTAGTAAAAGCCCAAGATCTAAATCTATGAGTCCACGTTCAAAATCGCGTAGTCAGAGCCGTGACGATTCACGCTCAAGAAATGGAGACGATTAAGCAGAGAATTTTTGTCCATTTTTTAAAAAATAATAAGGAGGTCTGTCTTGTTTTCATCGCTGACTGGACAAGATTTCACTTCAATTTTGAAAATAATTCACATAAAGTAAACCATTTAATTCCAATTTAGTTTTTTTTTTGTTTATCTTCAAAAGAAAACTACCTACGAGCATCGAAAAGGATATAACTAAAGAAGACGTAGACTCATTTTACTTTTTTCTTTTGTATGACTTATGAGTGTAAGATATAAGACTTTCTGCTTATTCCTAATTTTTAACATAACTTCTTTCTGCTACGTTCTCTATCTCCCCAACTCTTTTTATACATCTTTCATAATTTTTTCTACAAAAACACGATATTTAGCACTTAAAACAGACTCACACAAAGCAAAATTGTGTTTAATTATGTCTCATCATTTAATAATGCCTTTAATTAAGAAGAAAAAAAAAAGATGGTAAAAAGATTTAATTTTAAGGTTTATCGATTTCAATAAAGTGTTGGACTAGAAATAGTCCAATAGTGAATGCAAAATGTCTGGCTTTATTTTTGTTTTTTATTATAAGTTTTTTTCAGCTATTCCAAATGTTTTCAGAATTTTAAAATACCTCAAGAATTTAACAGTTTCCAAAAATTCAAATTCAATCGGTTCTTAAAAACTGAAATTTAAACGGTTTCCGAAAATTCAAATCTTAGCGGTTTTCATAAAATTCAAATTTAATCGGTTAATAAAAACTTATCGAATCTATCGGTTTTTTGAATTTTGAACGAATTTCAATTTGAAATATATTTCAAAAAACGATCAAGGAAAGATAGCGAAAAAGTCTCTCTGTTGTCTATTAATATGTTGTTTTGTTAATCTAATTCACTTAATATATAGTTGTTTCCCTTAAGGAACAGGGCACAGTGTGACGTACCAAATTGTATGTAGATCAACAGTTTAAAACCCTTAGGATTCCAACCCTTGTTAATATAATTAAGTTTGTTTTAAAAATTCATGTAGCTGAAATCAAGAGCTTTCCAAAAATATATAATATGTCATAGTTTTTATGCAGATTCTTGGTTTTATTAAGCCAAAGCTAAAAAAAATGTTAGTCTCATTTTCACTTGCAAAGTCTCATTTGCACCACTGCTTTAAACCAAGCAATAAAAAAATCAGCGTTCTTTTAGTGAATATAATTTTTATTTCGTTAATATCGAAGGAAAACAATGAAATAATGAATAAAATTCAAAATTTGAATTATTCGTGACATCTTAAAACTTCTAGTAAATAAAATAAAATTCACTCAATTTATCTCACTTTAATCCTTGCGCATTTTGCAGATGTAATTAGCAGGAACAAAACGTTTTTCACCGCTTATCATGACAGTTGCATCCTTTCCATTTAATGCCAACAAAGTTCCAGTTGCTTCACGATCATCACCATAAATTAATTTAAATTGATCTTGAACATTTGGCATTACTGGTTCCAATTGACTGCATGGAAGTGTCATGACACGATCTTCTTGTGGTAAAAAGACTGAACAAGCTCCATTATTGACAGTATTAATGTATCCGACTTGTCCACGTAAATTAGAATCAGCTGATGAGCGAATTTTGACTTCCAAGTCAAGTGTACACCATTCACCGTGAAAATCTCCAACGCCTAAGCTTCCTCCTAGAAATTAGCATAAAGAATGAATAATAATAAAGTTTTCAGAAATAACGAACTTAAAATTTTTGAAAAATAGCTTTAAAAATTTAAAAAAAAACTGTTAATAATCTTACCTGGTGTCTGTGGATTATTCATTGGTGATGATGGTCCACCTAATGTTTGTGGTGAATATCCAGGAGATGGCGTATAATTAACTTGATAAGATGATGGAGAGGGTGATGAAGTTGAAGCTTGGAAAGGCGAATAAAGTCCTGGGGTATGTGGAGTGAATGTTTGATTATATCCACCCGGTGTACTTGGATTATACCCAGGTGATGGCGATGGTTCATCAAGAGAAAAGTCATTAAAGTCATTTGGACGAGCTGGGGTATTTGTAATAGCTGGATTCCAAGCAGATTCATGTCTCGGAGTCATTGAACCGTCATGAGCTGGTGTTTGACTTCCATATGGTGTATTTGTAATGTCATATTGTGGAGTTTGTGAACCAGGAGTTTTGCTTCCAATATATTGGGGTGTTTGACTTCCATATCCAGGTGTACGATTTGGTGTACGGAACGATGAAATGCTTCCATCTTTTGCGGGCGCACCAACAACAGCAATATGATTACGATCGACAGAAATAGTCTGACATGATGAATGCAATTCAACACGAGCTGTACTTTCAGTTGCATCCTTAATAATTCCAACAGCTCCTTTATATGGACCTCCTGTAATTTTAATAGTTTTTCCGAGAATTTCACGATCCCGAGAAACAGCCCCCCTACCCCCTCCTCTTCCACCCCCACCAAAACCACGATTATTAAATCCCCCTCTGCCTCGATTTCCACCCGATGGATGTAAAGGAGATTGAATTTGAGGTGACATAAATCCGAAAACTGGCGGCGTCATTGTATTAGGAGTTGTCTACAGAAACTCAATAACTTATTAAACATTCAAAATATTTAAAAATAATGTTACCTTATTTCCACCAGCCAGACGCAAATGTCTTGTCTTACAGACGAATATTCCACCATTTTCGGTGTACATACGAGAGTAAAGGAATGCCAAATTGCGATAAAGATGCTTAATTTCTCCATCTCGGCCCTTAAAGTTGATTAAAGTGACAATATTAATTTAACGGTTTTTTGATATTTGAAAAATAACGGTTTTCAAAAATTCAAAAAATAAATTTAACGAAACAATTTTTTCAAATTTTTGAGTAACGGTTTTTATGTCAAAAAACAACTTACAGTATGTGGACCTTCAATGACTTTAACAATATCCTTTCGTCTCAATTGATTCTGTTCGTAATCTAATGCAACTGCATTAAAATTTTCTCTCTTCTTTTGTAATGCCGTTGGCTTGCATTCAATAACTTTTCCGTGCATGCTGAGTACATGAAAGTTTTCTCGTTCTAATCGGACAATGACACCAACAGTCTGTGCATCTAATTGAACTAAATCACCCCATTGATATTGTCCGAGAGAATCAACGCCAGTTGCCATATCGCTGCAAAGCTGCAAATCTCTTGGAAGAACTTCCAATTCGTGCATAGACAAGTCAGAAACGAGAACAACACGTGACGGTTCAACACGAACAATTAAACCAGTTTCGCCTTCATAACGTCCACCTAAGACTTTTGCGTGATCTCCAGTCTTGAAATATTTACGCAATTCATTTGCTTTAAAGATTAAAGGATCTTTAAGGTCCTCATGTTTTGGCATGACTGTTATCATTCCTTGATCAATGGCTATAATTGTAGCTTGAAGATTTTCCAAGTCACCAGAACATACTTCAACATTATCGCCCATAGAAAATGAATGAATGCCTTGTAACATTTCAGAATCTTTTGACGATACACTCAACTCAAGATTTACTTCCTCTGGTTGTTCCTCAAACTTTTCTAGTTCACTTAATGTTGGCTTAACACCTTCAGCTAAAATAGCTGACATTGTGAAATTTTTATAAAGGAATCCTTTTCGTGAATAACGATTTCCTTCAAAGACCAAAAAGTCACCATCAGTATTAATTTCACCTCCAATAGCTCGAATAGCTTCTTGATCGAATGGCTTTGCTGGTGGACGACGTTTCTTTTTACGTTTTAGTTCCTCTGCTTCTGTCAATTTTGTCTTTAATGCACCACGCATACGAGAATAATCAATACGTGGCAATAACTTTAAATGGACTTGATTTTGTGCAAGATCAACAAAATCAACCTGAGCAATGTCATCTTTATAAAGACCACGCTTTAATCTAACCCATTGCTTCTTTCTTAATCCAGTTTGTTCATTAACGACTTTCAAGACATCAGTCATTTCCTTAATCGGAACCATTTCTTGCTTCCAAATACCCATCCTTAAGTTTCCAACATTATTAATTGTCGATTTAACGTGTGTCTGCTTGAATGCTTCAATATAAATGTATCCTTTAACGCCCTTTGGTGCAACAACCGACTTAATTTGTAATGGCTCGTCCGTATTAGCATAAGTAAGGAATTTTCTCATTAATAACAAAACTGTGGCATTTTCTTCACCAATTCTGCATTTAATCATCCATAAATTGGGATCTTTAATGCCTGGCAACAATGTTTGTTGGGTAATTTCATCGGACATTTCCTCCCCACCATCACCAAAGTGACTTCTTGCATGATGTTCACTGTCTGCGTACTTTTTACGAAGTAATTTCTCAATTTCTTCCTCTTTTTGATTACTGAAAGATTTTAAATGTTTAGTAGATGCAAGTAGATGGAAATCAAGTCCCTATTAAAATAACGAATTTCAAAATTTCGAAACTTCATTTTTCCGAATTTTTTTTTTTTCCTAGTATAATTTTCAAAATTTATAAAAACTGTTGATTTCTAGACACGTGTCATAATATTCACAACAAATTTTTTACTATAAATATTGTTAAAATAAAGCAAACAAATGAAACGAGAGACTAAATAGTCTCTAAATAGTCTCTCGTTTCATTTGTTTGCTTTATTTTAACAAAATGATTAGTAAAAAGTTATTGTGAATATTATAACACGTGTTTAGAAATCAACGGTTTTTATAAATTTGAAAATTATATGATGAAAAGCAAAATTCGCAAAAATGAGGTTTCAAATTTTTGAAATTCGTTATTCTGATAGGCATTCGGGCTCATGTAAATCAATAGCCAGTTAATATCACTTACTCCCATAAAGTATGTATACGTCGACGATTTTCAATTTCTCGAGCAGTTCTACCCGATTCTTCGACTTCATTTCCAACAATACCAATTTCTGCAACATTATCGTCATATTCATCGTCTTCATCAACATCAGAGTCTACCTCAGCTTCCTCAATAATGAAATCTCGGTACCTAAATGCGAAAAATAGGTCAAAATAACCAATAATAGCTGATTAAGTTAGATTTTTACCTGTCATTTGTCTTTTTCTTGCGTTTTCTGGATTTATCATCAAAATCCTCTCGATCTTCATACTCTTCGGAGTCTATATCATCTTCGTCTTCGTCAATATCCTCGTCTGGATGTGCTCTTTTATTGGATATTGGCTTATTACTTTTTACTTTCTTTAATTTGTCTTTTTTGGCATCATCAGATTCTGAACCGGATCTACTGCCTGCACTACGTGATCTGGATCTTGATCTTTAGAAAGACACATTGAGTAATTAATAAAATTACGCTTGTTGGATGAAATAATTTGATTTTACAAACCTCGACCCTGAATTGACAGATTCTGCATCACTTCCAGCTCCTGACTCATTGGAAAGATCACTATCAGAGTCCGCCATATCTTTTTATTCGTTTCTATGCACAAAACCTGTGTAAAACTCGAATTAATTTAAATTTTCTCAAATCACCAAAGCGTATATGTTTAGCGTTTTATTACATATTAACCTTTGTTTACAATTGATTCAAATTTTTTCTGATCGTTGATGGGATCTGGCAATAATTGCAGATTATTGTTTAAGTTAGAGACACATCTTGCTATGACAGACGCAGAATCAACATTAAACTAGTGTATCGGGTAGAAACCCAATGCGGATATATTCACACCGTACCATCAAAAGTCTTATGGATAGACCAAGATTTGCTTAGCATAAGTTTGAAGGTATAAAGCAAGCACATCAAATGTAAAAAACTAGAAGTCTCTACGATGTCTCGTTATTGAGATTTCTTGCTGATTAACTTGCTTGCTTGTTTGCTTACAGAAAGCGTATTTTGCGATTTTCTCAGCAATGCCGCAACCAATTTGAAATCTGTTTTTTGCAAAAGGTGTGAAATTCCAGGCACAAACTTTTCATCTCTGAACATTTTAAGCTATCTTGCTCCATATCCTCACAAAATTCAAAACATTGATTTTCAATCTGAACAAAACCAATAGATTCACACGTGGTGTGAATATAAAATATTTATAAGATGAATTTCCATATAAAGCTCAAACTAATGATTTCGCAAGGGGAAAGAACTGTAAAATCTTCTCACATTCACCTGTATTTACACCTCAATCTAGAAATCCCTAAAATGCAGCTACCCTAATATGCAGATAGTACTGCCAAGATGCAGATGATACTGCTTAAGTGCAGATGAAATTTATTTTTCCTAAAATGCAGATGAAATGCTGTTGCTTTAAAAAAGGTATAATGCAGATGATTTTTATCGTATAAAGTGCAGATAAGATGCTGCCCAAATGTAGATCGTATAATTTTATTAAAATAAAGATGAAATGCTGTTATAATGTAGATAATTTAACATTGGATATTAATTTTTTGGGCCCCGACGAACAAAAAAATTATTCGTGAGTGACGCTTTGGTTTCTTAAATATCTCCGAAACCACAATAGTGACAAATTTCAAAGTTATTATATCTTGTAAAAAATAAAAATTGCTTTCTTTTGACATAGAACTTACTTCCTAAAGTTAAGGCGTTATGTCAGAAAATCAATTTAATTAAGCGTCACTCACGAATATTTTTTGTGAATTTTGTTAAAACTTTGTCAGCTTTCATCGATATATCTACAAATGTATTTTTTAAATTCACACCGTTTCCACGTGTGAATCTATTGGTTTTGTTCAGATGGAAACATCAGTTTTTCGCATTTTGTGAGAAAACGAAGCAAAATTGGTTATAAAAAGTCTCAGAAGTAAAGTTTGTGCCTTGAATTTCACACCTTTTGCAAAAAACAGATTTCAAATTGGTTGTGGCATTGCTGAGAAAATCGCAAAATACGCTTTCTGTAAGCAAACAAGCAAGCAAGTTAATCAGCAAGAAATCTCAATAACGAGACATCGTAGAGACTTCTAGTTTTTTACATTTGATCCGTGCAGCTCTATAGAATAGCTGTATAGTTTTTGGGCAAGGTAGGAACAGTCGTTGCTTCAGAAAAAGCAAAACACTTTCCTTTCTTACGAATTTTTTAAAACAAAAGTTCACTGTGATTTTTATAAAATTAAACTTTGGATGAAAAATGTTCTTAAAAAACTTTAAAGAATGCTGGTTAAGCTTTAAACCTCCAAACATATGCTGAGCACAGCTCAGCTGGTTCGTAAAGATTTATACTTTCAAATTAATACTGAGCTAAGCTTGGTCTTTCCACAAGACTTTTGATGGTACGGTGCGAATATATCCGCATTCGGTTTCTACCCGATACACTAGTTGATGTTATTAAAAAAGTTCAGGAAAACAAAAATGCATTTTTGAATACATTGCAAACTTTATGACTTTAAATTACTTTGCTACACGAAATTTTGATGCAATTAGCATGGAGGGGATTTAAATCATCTTTTCCAAGTGATTTATTTTTGATTTATGATTTAAATCATTTTGTATGGGGATTTTTTTGGGATTTTAAATCACTTGAAGGTGAAAATTTGTATGGATATTTTTTTTTTTTATTAACACGTATCAAGAAAAAAATGTCATCGAATATGATGTATTTTAATAAAATTATACGATCTACATTTGGGCAGCATCTTATCTGCACTTTATACGAACAAAATCATCTGCATTATACCTTTTTTAAAGCAACAGCATTTCATCTGCATTTTAGGGAAAATAAATTTCATCTGCACTTTAGCAGTACCATCTGCATCTTGGCAGTACTATCTGCATATTAGGGTAGCTGCATTTTAGGGATTTCTAGATTGAGATTGCTGTTAAGTCCATTATACTTTATTGTTAATGGACAAAAGGTTTTGATGGACATAATTAAGTATTTTGAATTAAAGCTATATAAATGTTATGTTAATGCTAATCTAGACTTTACTCAGGAAGACATAGCTACTTTCAAACGTTCTTTTGACAATAATATTTAAATAAATAATAAACAGTTATGTCTTTTTTTCATTATTCCTTAAAATGTACCTTTAAATTATTATTTTACTCCCAATATATTTGTGGTAATTTATTTTCTGTGCATACCTGTATTTACATGTTTTTTCCCGCATTTACCCCATTTTCCCGCCTTTACATGTAAAAACCTGCAAATACCTACATTTACATGTATTTTCACGCATTTTCATACGAGTTCTTTCCCCTTGTGATTTCGTGTAATAAAAGTTAAATTTATGTCTATGGACACTACATATATGTTATAAATATCCTTATATCAAAAAGTTTTGAAATAGTCTAGAAATCTGAATAAAAACAAGAAAAACACAAATTCCTAGCTAGAAATATACATGTCGTTTTATTAAAAGTAATACAATTCATGCTAATTGATTTAAAACCTCCATAATTGAAGCGCTTATCGATTTCACCATATTTCGTAATCATTAGTTAAAACAAACAGGATATAGGAACATCATTTTCTTGAACTCATTTATGTCAGCTATTATGTTCTCATCTATTTCCGTCTTTTCATTCAAAATTTTTCTTTTTGGATTGTTATCTGGAACATCATTAAAAATTTCAAACTTAGTTTTTCCAATAACTTGAATCATGATTTTTCTTATATTTTGTGAATCGAATACAGATTTGAAATAGTTCTGTAAATCATGCTTGGTTATTCTTTCAGCATCCTCAATGGCTTCTTTAGTTCTATTAAAGTTGTATGCTTCCTCTGTTATTTCTCTAAGATTTAGAGTAATCTCAGTGCTCAAAGTTAAATTTGGTTGCGATAATCCACTGATTCTTCCTTTTTTGTTAGCTTCAAATTCTTCACCTGTCATGTCTGCCACATACTGCTTGCATAAGACATTAATAAATTCTTCCATTTTCTCATAAATCTTGATATAATTATTGACGTCTTCATTTGATCGTACAGCTAGCTTAAATCCAATAACTTTATCAAGCTTGGACATCGAGAAACTCACATTGTAGGACAATTGAAGCTTAGTTCTTAGGAAATCGAATGCCTTTGGATCTAAAAATGAGCTTAGCATTGAGGCTAAATTTTGTGTATGAATTGTATAAGGACCAGCTTGATAATAGTTCATAATAATAGACAAATCATCAGTTGGATGTGTCGACTTCATTCTTAGTGTATGTGATCCCAAAGGAACTTGAAATCCTCTTGCTCTAAAATGATTGGCTTCATCTAATTTCTCGCAATCGAAATATTTTTGGAATAATTCAGCAATTTTTAAAGCATCTTCTTTCTTCATATTTCCTTGAACTAAAGTTACAACTTTCAACTGCTTTAGAGTATCTTTGATAGAATTGTTAAATTTATCGAATGAAATGTTGTCCAAAATTTTAAGGACATCAAAATTTGTAAAATAACTGTTTGAAAGAATCTTACTCAATTCATTTGAGCCAATAGCTCTAGAATCATACAAAGAATCCATTAAGCTCTTCTTATACTCATCAATTTTCTTAATGAACCTTGATTCATCCACATTATCAACGATTTTCTTAAATTCTTCAAAAGTTGCATCAACAATCTTTAACATTTTATCATTATAACCACCAAATGAGAACTGCATACTATCATAGCTTACATAGAAGCTATTTGAATACCCAACTTTGTGAGATTTAGAGAATTCCTTATCAAATATATCAGAAATAATTTTCGAAAGGAGCCTCATGTATGTATACGTTTCAGAACTTTTACCATAATCCTTCCCAATCAACACCATTTCAATGTTTGCAAAAGGTTGTTTAAATTTTCTATCAAGCATGTGCCAAATTTCAATCATTTCATTTTTGAAAATTTTTTCGGGGTGATCCTGAAATTGAAACGTAATTGAATTAGAAACAGATCGTTGGAACATGTGATTAAGTTACCAATTCTTCGTCATCGGTGTATATGTCGAAATTTTGAATTTTGTACGGATTTGGCTGTTCTATAAAGAATTTTGGATTTTCCTTCCTTTCATTCCAGAGAGTTGTGTATTGTACAGGCATGTCGATTTCATCATACTCGAGATCATAAATATCCTCTTTTAATGGGAAGCCATCCCGTTTCTTAGTCAAAAATGTTATGTTGAACTTTCCAGTGTTCAATCTATCAATCAGGTCTATTAAAGCATCTTCATCATACTTTAACAATACATACTTTCCTCGGACCATGTCTTCATCATTAAAAAACCTCATTTCTCTAGCAATTTCAACATTACTTAAAGGCTGGCTTTCACGCTGGAATTTAAATCGTAGATTAATGTCTTCTTGGACATCGTAGAATAGCCTCGAGTATTCAGCACGTGGTGTATTTTTCAACATCAATAAATAAGAATAAATTGCTGATAAAATGTCGTTAATATGTTCGAAACCTAAATCAGTAAGTTCGAGCTCTAATCGCAAAAATATGAACTGAGCAGATGCAAACCACGTGCGGTCAGTAAGTGACATATCCGTAATGTAATTTTTCTCTTTTAAATATTGAACCAGTCCGCCTTCATCATTATTATAAAAAATTCTTTCTAGAATATCAATTGGCTTGCTTTTGTAATTCTTATGAATTGGTGGAAGGACCCAAGTTAATGCCATTGTACTCTCATTTGTATCCTTCAAGTATAGAACTTTCGAATAAAATTCAGGCTTAATTAGCACATCAAAATCTACTGGTTCTTCGTACTGAAACTTGATTCCGTCATTTTTCTTGATTTTTGAGAAATTATCAACAACTAGATTTTGTATCTCATCCATCGGTCGATTTGATTGAACACACAATGTCATTTTATTAGCCACGTAGTTATTATTGAACTTAACAAGCTCGTGATGTAAATCATCATCGGATATATTCTCCTTAAGAGTTTGGAGATTCCCAACTGGAAACCTACTTGCTGGATGTTCTTGATTTAAATATAATCTATGAAGATGAGAACGTCTTGTCATTGGGTTTTGCTTGCTAATACGGTACTCAGAATCAACGTTGATACGTTCACTTTGCATGAGATTTTTATTTAACTTTGGCGAAGTGATGAGCTCAGAGAATCTTTTCAAAGCTTCCGGAAAATGTTTGTCATTAATCTTCAGTTCATAATTAGTAAAATCATTTCCAGTCATTGCATTACAATATCCATTATGACCTTCGACATATTCCTTGATATTATTTTCATAATTTCCATAATCCAAGAAGATCATGTGTTCGAAGAAATGAGCAAGTCCTAGGACGTTTGGAGGATTCTCATAGGACCCAACATAGACACACAAAGATGCAGCAGCAACTGTCTTTCCTTCTTCATCATCAGTTTTCGAGATCAACAAAGCTTTCAATCCATTCTCAAGTTTTATTAATCTGTAATTCTTTTTGTCATTTTCTGACTTAATTGGCATCGTTAAGACTTCCATCTTTTATTATCTACTTTTATGCTTGTTGCACTTTAAATCATTTAATTAAACTGATGATTTCGGATGCAATTTGCAACGCTTTTATATGCATTTTTACCGCAAAAGATATCAGGATTGAAACGATTTTTCTAATTTTATGACCTAACCGCAATATTATGCCATTAATTGATTAGTAGCTATAAACATTGTTAGTATTAGACTTTGAATTTTGTCAAATACTTGGAGTAGGATCTGATCTTGAAAATCAAAAATATATTTGTTAAGAATTAGATTTATCCGCAAAGGAGTGGTGGATTGAGACTTATTAAAATCAACTTAATTCTTCCTGTCATTTCCAAAAAAATTCTGCAGCACACTATTGTGTCGCGGCACACAGTTTGGACAACTCTGTTCTTTAACATTTATCTTCTATAATTATTTTCAAGAGAAAATTAAAGAAAACTTCCAAAAGCCAGCCATTTTGAATCAAAACTTTATTTTTTGATAAATAAAACCACATTTTTGTTCTTTATACAAATTTATTTCGTCATTAATTGAAGTTAATTATAGTTAAGTTTAAATTATTTACCTTCTAAGGACATTTTATCAAATAATCTGCAATAAAATTTATTGTTAACCTGAAATTTCAATAAATTCATCTAATTTTGATCATTTACTTAACCAAAAGAGAATCAATTAATTGATCTGCTTCCAAAAAATTAATCATCAGTATGCCTGAGGTCATTCTAAAGTTCAGTCAGAATGAAGTGAGTCATAATATGGTCATTATCATACTTTTATTATTATTTTTATGACTAATGTCCAAAAAAAAGTTCTAGAATAGTGGAATATGGAACACGTCGTTTTATTGTGAAGGTGTTTGGGTCAGTACTATGCTCAACAATCAAATGCTCTGGTGGCGCAATTGGTTAGCGCACGGTACTTATATGACAGTAACTAAGCTATGCCGGGGTTGTGAGTTCGAGCCTCACCCAGAGCATCTTTCTTTTTTGCTAAAGATTTTCATATTTTCTCCTTAATTTATTCGATTTGATTCCTTTGTAAAGAAATTACAATAATTTTGTTCTTTATCATGAGCACAAGTCACGTTCTTGAGGGAGTTTGGTGAAAATTTCTTTGCACATGTTTGTGGTGAGTTTTTGCGAGTAAGAAAATTGGATCAGCTTGGGTTAGAAAATGAGTTTGAAAGTCATCTGTGACACAATCTTACCTTTTTGCAAGTTTCAACCATGTTAATTAACCTTTTTTATTTTAAAAGTTTTCAACGGTCGAAAATATTTTGAATGTTTTGTGTCAGTCTGCCAAAGAAGTTAACAAAGCTCATTTATTTAAAAACAAATAAGAATACTTTTTTGAAAAAGCAACTTTAAAATGGAAATGTAAGTTAATTAACGTTACTTAATCAAAAATTGTAATTAATTAGTGACAATCTTTCAGATTAAATCCAAAACTACAAGTCTTAACAAATCAGGAAGTGATGCAAGCACTCAGACAAATAAAAGATCAGAAAAATTCACATTCGACAAGAAATCTCGCTACTATCACGTATGAAGTAAGGATTCTTAGTGTTATTAACAGAAGTCAAGTTAAGTCTAACGTTATTAATCAATTTCAGACTATTCAATACTTGGAAAACACACCATGCAAAGATCAAACACAGGAAAATATAGAAAATTTCATAGTAGAAGCTCAAAAGTTTGGTCGATTAACAAAATCGGAAGTCCTTACTATGATTAATGATCCTCCGGCACTTCCACTGCATATTCAATTAATTGTTGAAGATTCTGAAGAAAGATTGACGGAAACGCAGGTAGATGAACTTATTGAGCTCTCGAAAAAGTATCTTCATCCAAATTCCACGAATACCGGTTAATTATAGTTTTTCTTTACACAAATTTATTCTTTAAACATCTTCATAATCTTCTTCTTAAAAATTCACTTGTGATACGAATAATAATAAAAATTCATATTATAAAAATGTAATATTGGAATCGTTCGTTCTTTAGCTTTTATGGATTATTTGCACACAAATATCTCACGTTTTTATCGCTTTTGATCACCCAAGTCTTCAATGAAGTCTTCGTCAATCTCTGGCCATTTCTCAGGAATTATATCAAACAACTCATCCTTGACATCTCCTTGAATGACTATCTCATCTTCACCAGTTACTGATGATCCACAAGCGAACTTTGTGCCAAAGAACTTTGTTGCTGCCTTAAGATCAATACCTACAAAATAAACAGTATTCTAATTAGTCACAGCAATGCATTGCAATGATGAATATAAAATATAGCTTACCGAATGTGCTAAGTCCATTCACAACAGTTACAGACTTCTTTTTTCCTCTCGGTGCTCTTGAAACTGTGATTTTCTTCTCCTTATCGTTATCTTCCTTCTTCTTATTAGCTTTAACCATACCTTTACCACCTCGTTTCTGTCGCTTCTTCTCTTCCTCTTCAATTGCAGGAGCAGCAGTGCTGCCGCCGACGCTTGTTTCCGTCTGTACATTTGTGCCTCGATCTTTAACATCCAATTTTGCAAATTCCGTAGGAAGATTCTTTTCTAACCATTTCTTACATTTCTCATATTCTGGATAATATTCACAGTACTAAAATAGGTAAGATTATGCAAATAAAGTATGTGAGCATAACACAGGATTGATAAAACAAGAAGAGTAAAAAAAGGTCCAAAAATAGACAATTTACTTTTTTCATCAAAAACTTACTTCAATTGGCATTGTACAATTTCCACAATATGCTACAATGACTGGATAACTAATACCCGCACGCGGACCTATCTTAAGCTTTTCCTGTATGTCTGTCATATCTTTAATTGAATTTTTAAATCTTTTACAATTTATTTCTTTACTTTTTTTCGTGTTAAAATTCGAAATTTCCTAGCGACTTTTGACTTCCGGGCTGGATTTTCATTTCTCAATTTGTAACCGACAAATTCAGTTTGTCTCACATTTATACGGAAACAGGCAATTCTGAATCATTGTGTAAAGGGGCCGTTCACTTAATACGTTACGCAAAAAACCGACTTTTTTCACCCCCCTCCCCCCCTTGTTACAACATGTTACAACTCACAACCCCCCCCCCCCCCCTCCCCCCTGAACGTTCATAATTCAAATTTTTTTCGTGAACTTTTTTTTAAAAGACACGACAGTTAGAACGTTACATACTTCTTGACACCCCCCCCCCCTATGTTACATTTTGTTACAATTTTTCAAACTCCCCCTCCCCCCTAAATACGAACGTAATAAGTGAACGGCCCCAAACTTAATAAAATTGTTCTCACAAAAAATTGTGTCTTTCACATTTAGATTCGAAAAGAAAGTTCTAGGGTGTAAAAAGGGATTAATTGAATCGATTGAATCGAAAAAAATGTTCAAAAATTCAAAAATCTCATGTTAATTAAACTTTGTCTTTTAAATGCCAGATTAAAGATCTTTCCTTTATGCATATCCTTTATGCATATCTCGTTCCTATTTGCTGTCTAACTCCAGAAATCATTAATTTAATCTCACCCAAAATTTGTTTACAATTTGAATATGAAAAAAAAATAAGATTTTTTCTACTTTAAGTTGTTATTTGAATGTCTTGGAAGCAGTTGCTAGCTAATTTAAGCTTAGCTTTACATATTAAAACAACCAACTCAATAGAAATCTGCTTATTAAGCCTTAAAAATGGAATTGAAATCTGAGTATTTTTACAAAACTTAAACTATTCATAAGATAAAAAGTCTTCCAAAGACCTCTCTGAAACCTTTGTAAAGTTTGTAAAAGTTTATCAAAAAATATTGTGCATGATCAAATTTTGTATGAAATTTTATGTAAACTTTGATCGCAAATATCTCGAAAACGGCATGTCCTCAGTAATATGAGAGATAGATTTAAGCTTAATTAATTGATTTGTAAAGGTTTCAGAGAGGTCTTTGGAAGACTTTTTAACTTATGAATAGTTTAAGTTTTGTAAAAATACTCAGATTTCAATTCCATTTTTAAGGCTTAATAAGCAGATTTCTATTGAGTTGGTTGTTTTAATATGTAAAGCTAAGCTTAAATTAGCTTTTGTTAAGCACATTCAGCACAAGCTTATTAAGAGGTTCTGGCTCATTGAAGAACTAGCGTGGAAGTATCAAACTCACCACGAACTATAATTTATGATGCTGAAAGAGAGATTTAAGACATGTCATGACTTATGCAGCGTAGAATACATTTAGGGATTGATTTTGCGCTGTACGAGCTGCTTACAGCATGAGTTTTCAGTGAGAAAAGCTGAATTTTTTATTGAAAATTATAAACTTCCAAGTGGATAGAATTTCAACACGTTTGGAAAATTCAAATTTAATTTTAACGGTTTATGAGACATGCAATCAAATCAGTAATTTAAATGTAAAAAACCGTTAAAATTTTCATATTGAATTTAAGGCAGTATTAGTATATAAGCATATCCTTTCAAATTCATTGGAAAATAATTAATGAATAGAATATATTGAAGAGTCGCCCCACGCGAATATGACCATTTCCTAAATTTCCCGAGATAATGAAAATGCAGAAGGAAAATTACACATCAAAAACGGGAAAATTATTCACCACATCGCGTGGTGAGAATTGTGACGACCAAAGAATAAAAAAAATTGAGAGAGAGTTTTCCTCACACATTATTTTTTCCCTATCTATCCAAACCATTCACTTTCGTTGTGTGAGTCAGAGTGTATAAAACACACAAGGGAGAATATATATAAAAATTGAGAAAAAACGGGGAAAGGAAGGAAAAAAAGAATTTTTCACGATGAAAAAATTATTATTAAAGTTATAAATGGCAATTCTGTTGTTTAACGTGGACACAATTTAATCAACAATTGCGTTACGTCGCTGAAAAGTGTCAGTGAATTGAGTGAAAAGTTGTGAGAGAATCAGAAATAATAATCAAGAAATTTTTTACAGAACGAGTGTAAAAAAAGAAAAGAAAAAAAATTTATTGATTTCGTGCAAAAGGAAAAGAGGAAAAATCCTTATTTGGAACGTGAAAAATCCATCAAAATAGATAACTAAAAGATAGTCATTATCAAATAATAATAAATAAATAAGTCGTGTTCATTTCTCCTGTTTAATTTTTCTCGTGTGTGTTTATTAAACCATTTAAATATGCCAGTGAAAAAGCAAGGTAATAATGCAATGGATTCAAAAAAGAAAAAAAAAAATTATCTCTACCTACATACATAATATAATATAGAGTGAGACACACAAAGTAAAAAAGGGAGAAAAAAAATCAATCAATTAGATTATTAAAGAGGAATGAGGAATAAAAGAAAAAATTAAATTTAAAGAATTAAAAAAAACTTTCTCACCACCCCCCCCCCCCCGCAGTCTCATATAAAATTAAAGATAAAAAAAAATTGGTTCATCAGTAATTTCTAAGAACAGTGCTTAGAAGCTAAATCTTTTAATTTTCAAAAAAAATATAAAAAAGAATTTTTCAATTCCCAAAAAAATCTCTCTACAGTGCGCGAAAAATCATAAAAATCGTTTCTCTCCTTTTTCTCGTTCATGTGATGCTTTGCAACAACAAGCCAGAGCTGATGTTTAAAATTAAACATTTTTTTTCTTGCCTTTCCTTCTTTTAAATTTTTATGAGAATAAAAAAAAATCTATACAATATTTTTTTAAGTTTGTTATTGTATGAAAAATAACATTACACAATAAAATATATCAGCAAAAAAATAGAAGAAAAAAAAATTGAGAGCGAACAAGAGAAATTAATTCAATGAAGATATGTGCGATGCATGTGTAGTTGAAATGGAAAAAGAAAATTGCAAAAAGAAGAAAAATATTCGTAGCAGACAAATGACTGTGGTGCATTTTCACTTCATTGCCTTTTCCTTTATCTCTTGCCAAATAAGAAACTTTTTTTTGCTGCTTATCAGTATTGAAATCTTGAATTATACATTGCTTTAATTTAACGGCTGTTTTAAATTCAAATTTTAATGTTCAGTAAAACAATTTTGAGTCTCAACTATCAACATCCCACCCTCAAAACTCGAAAACATAAATAAACCTGTAAAGCCCACGACAATAAACTTTCATGTCCAAACATAAACGTCCTTCAAACAAATTTCATGTCAGACAAAATGCCAAAACAATATAATTTGTTTCCTCAGGAATGTACTATAAAATTTTGTTCCATTGAAATTCGAGTAAAAATAATTGGACTAAGCATTTTGAATTTGACTCCTTGTTTATATTCACCAAACATCAGGCATGCAATATAATTCATCAGTAAGAATTCTTTTTAAAACGCATTTGATTGGAATTTACGAATGGTTTTTCAGTAAAATTAAAACTTTAACGGATTTTATTAATTTAAATTTTAAAAGAATTAAAAAGATTATCAGTAATTGAAAATTTGAAGAATTTCAGCTTTAGTTTATCATAAACGGTTTCTTAAAGTTTTAAGTTTTAACGGACTTTTGAGATTTAAATGTAAGGGTTTGAGTCTTGGCTTAGTTTTGAAATTAAAATTCTCGTTATGAAAGCAAATAAACTTTATTGTTCGAAGGAATTCATTTAAATTCCAATCTAAACACAAAAATTTTAAAAACAAAACAGCTAAAACAATTAATCAGGTGAATCAGAAAGCAAAAGATATCATTAGCGCACCTGTATGTATAATTTACAAAAAATCATGCATCAAAAGCCGTAAATCTAGTCTATAAATTGAAAAACGAGCAGCAGGATAATCTCAATTAAACGTACTTTAGTTAAGAACTACTAAGTAGTGAATAGAACATTTTGTAACTCAATATTATTAGCAAAAAAAGCAACAAATATTTGAATACGATATTTAAAGATTGAAATGTAGTTTACAGTTTCTCAATGCCAACAAATTTGTCATGCAAATTTAAATGTATATGCACGAACAATTTATCGAAAGTAGTACCCATAAATTCTTCTTCATTTCCGTTCCTCTAATCCGTCTAGCCATTGATAAAATAAAAACTAAAAGCGTGCGTAGGCAGACACGAAATATAAACAAAAGTTCAAGTTCATTTTTAAAATTGGGTCCACCATTCAGCAACATGTGTGCGATTTTCCTTCCTTCTTATTTCAATTGACTTTTGTTTGTGCCTGAAAGTGAAGAAAAAAAAATGTTCTTTTCATGTCACTTTCATTTGTTATTTCACACACATTTCCGATGAAGTAAAACAAATACAACTTGTTCCTTCCTCTCCGTCGATCGTAAAACTAGATGAAAATTATTTTCTTTCGCCGCTCTCAGAAGCGTCGTCAGACACAACCGACCAAAAGTAAATGTTCTCTTTATATCCTCTCTCATACTTGACGGTGCTGTGTGATGGATAGACACATTTGTAATTGATCTCCATGGGAAATTTTCACTTGCCTGATGTGAAGTTTCACGTACACAAAAACATTTTTTGTTCCTTTTTTACTGTTTAGTCTATTTATGCTTGATAAAGTTAAATGATTTGTGATGTAAATACAATTTGAATGAGGAGGTCGGTCCCTAATGATGTCTACCAAAAATAGGATATTAAGATTCGCTGCAACCCCCAGATATAGTCACAGTATCTACGTAAAGGGCTAATTTTAATGATATTAACAATAATCAATTTCATTTTAAATCATCATTTATAGCCAAAAAGTCAAATAGTCTAATCTTTGTGACCTTGCTCGCAGACATTCAGTAGTCGAAGCCAATAAAAGTTTGATTTAAGCCGTCGTTTGATTAATTTTCCTTCTTATTTACATTGTGTCTATCTATTGATTTATTCTGAAAAATTTTATGGTTTTCAGCGTATGTTTGAGATATTATCTAATAGCTGTCTGGATGTTTTATTTGTT